TGCAAAACTTACAATAGCTCACGCTGATCACTATACGGCACTTCTAACAGCCAGCTTCCAAACACTCAGATCAGATCAGCATCTAACAGTGGTTCTGGCTCCATCTTATGGCCGATTGAGGAAACAGCAACCAATCACATTTATAGCATGATTTAAAGAAACGGGTACAGCATTGTTGCATGATTTATATATTGCCAACCCAACCGTTAGATTATATTCCTAGCAATTACCCCTATGCCTACAGCCACTAATTAAGAAACCTGGGCTTTGTAAGGGAAATTAAGAAAAATGTTTCAAATATTCATATATTTTTTCAACACTAAATCATGCCCATTTCATTGATCATATTTAGATGAGAAGGAAATTTAATATAGCTTTTTCTCCTTCATATCAAAACACTGTTTATAAAACATTTGGGCAAGAACTGGGCATTAGGTCCTGTATCAAGTGGTAACTGATTCTGTTCAGGATTGGGCTCATTTTCATGAAAATTATTTGATTTATACCATGTCAACCAAAGATTTATTCCCTCTGTTCCCAAAAGAGGGCACTGCCAAAATAAAAGGCTGGAGCCTAGGCAATCTCTGGTTTAGATGTACATTTAGTAAAAATCATTCAATTAATATAAATGTTCCAGCTGTATTTTTAAATAAGTTATAAATAAGTACATATTAAAAAGTACTTTTTTCTGTAATTATCCATTGTAGTTTTTTCTTCAAAAGCAGAAAGTTTAGACTTCTTGAATGAATAATATCTCTTACACTCTATATATTGTAAATAGCATACAATAGTTTTTGTTTTAAAAACCCTCCGTCTGTTAATAGCTGAAGAAAACGTGTAAGTAACATCTATGCCATATTTTCAAACTTAAGGCAAAGTTACATCGATCAACTTCAGAGAAAAATAAAACACCATCTTGATGGAAATAAGTAGCACCATTTATTTAAAGCCACTTGTACTGTGACAAATGCCTTGGTAATGATGTATTTCTCTTTATTATTTCCCTAGAAAAACAGTTCAAATAATAATTGAGAGAAAATTACAGACAGAAGTAAGCATGTAAAAAGATTGTTGTTTACATTGGTCAAATGAATTCAAAAAGTTAATGTTCAGGCCCAGATATCCTGCAGGTATCGTTTTTCTTCTCTTAATGTAGCCAGTATTTTCAATGCGTCCAATTTATCAACTCCTCTCTCAGTGGTGAAGACTTCCACCAGAGTGTCATTCACATCTTTAGCCATATTTTTTGCATCTCTTAAAATAAAAAACAAAGAGGGAAAACAATTATAATTTGACTTAAATAAATGGATTTTAACAGAGATGGAGCTCTTGCCTCATAATCAGGAGATTGAGAGTTTCATTCTAGGTAACAGCAGATCTTTCTCTCTTTGGGCATAAAGAGAAAATATTTGCTGCGAACTCCACATAGGTGTCAGGAAGGGCATCTGGTCAGTAAACACTTACTGGTGAAACTCGAAAAATTAGAATATCGTGCAAAAGTTCATTTATTTCAGTAATGCAACTTAAAAGGTGAA